TGCAACACAAAGATGCCACGCCCCTCGGTTTCAACCTACCGAACTTTTTTTTTTTGGGGGGGGGCTGCAACTTAAAGCCTCAAGGCTCTCATCTGTGCTTGACCCTGGACTTCTTGGGACTTTTGGGGGCTTTTTTCAGGGCTTTGAAAGGCATCCGAGGGTATGATGATACAATGACCACAGCGGAAGTCTTACGAAGCAGTCAGAGTCAGATCTCTGTATTGTTGAACAAAGTATTACATGACCATAGAGGTGGGGGTAGGTTTATTCAGGGGTCGGGCCATCAAGGCACTTTAGCATATGGGGTTTAGGACTAGAATATCTTGATAGCAGGCTTGCCGTCCAGTTTGCAAGCTTCATCTTTGTCTCTCTTCTCCACCTAGTAAAATCCGGTAAGTCACCTGGTTCTGTACGCGTATGACACGTTGCGACGAAGGTGCGAATACTTGCGTCCTTCGAGCCCTTGCCCTTGCTCGGAGCGGCCACTTTCGAATGATCTCTGTAAGCTACGCGAGCAGCCAGCAGACTCGCACAGCAACAAGTTCAACAAGCAAGCCCAAAAATTGCCCCGAAAATTGAAACACAACTGTTCGTCTCCATCACACTTATACTATTACAGAACTCGTTGAAATCTGGGCATTCAACGTGTTCTGCTCCCTGCATCGCCACAAGGACAGTTTAAGCAAGGGCACAGTTCAGTTTACAGGGTGATAAACCGGAATGGTAAACCTGAAACCAAAAGGAGCCACGGTTGAGGTTGTTGGGGTTTTGGGTTTACGGTACAGACGGTGCACTGCTTGGCATCGGTATAGACTCCCGGAAAACCTTCCCCTAGCAGTAAAGCTCCAGATGCTTCCCAAAGCCTAAACCCGACAGGGAAGCCACCCCTTCACCGAAGGGGTTGCTCCCTAAACACTAAACATGAACCCTAAACGTTCCCGCAAACCCTAAACCATACACCCTAAATTCTGAGTGTTAGACCTTTAAAACCTCAATGAAACACCCAACCCGGTCGACTGGCTTTGCTTGTCTTGTCTGTCATGGCCTGCAGGGAGTCAAATTTGGAGCGAAGGCGAAGGCGTCCTTGCTGACGGGCCCCTAAACCCCAAATCCTAAAAGCC